CGGCTTTAACTCGTTCATGGACTTGATGACTTATGCTGCTAAGGAACAAGCAGATATCTATAGGAAGGCCACGGCTCTATTGATGTTTGAACTGGGTTAGAAATTACTTCTATTATTTATAAGTTATTTTTAATGTATTTTATATAAATCAAGAAAAATCTTAAATTTTATTAATTTTTATTAAAAACTAAATTTTTTTAACTCTATCTCTATTTATATATATATATTATATAAATAATATAAATACAATAATAAATGAATGATAAATTTGTACTCCGTCCATCTCTTTTTATAAATAACAACTACCATTCTCCTATTGTCTCTAAATGTAAACAACATTTGCAAGTTGTCTTAAATTTTTGTAGAAAATTTTCTATTTTGCTCTCATTAATTACTTATTCTAATACTCAATATATTTATTATTTTATTTTTCAAACCACAGTCTCTCTCCATCTGTATTCTCTCTCTTTCATAATTTTTTTATTATAATAATTTTTTTATTCTCGTTCTTATATTTTTTCTCTCCCAGTAAATAAAAGTATTTTAGAGAAAGAACTTCTAATTTAAAGTTGCTTATAAAAAGAAACGGAGGAAGTAAATTTATATAAAAAATTTCTGTCAATGTTTATAAATATGAGCAAAAATATATTTTCTGTTATAAATGGGATTAGAGGAGTAAAGCTTATGGGAAGGTTAGGTATGGACGTTCTATAGAGTTTCTTAAAGGAGTACTTTCGATTATTCACGGACCTCCATTGTACGGTGATGAGGTTGATTGATTGTTGCATATGATGCTCTGTCTGATGAACAAAACAAAGTGAGTTGTGCTTTTCAAATTTTTTTTTGGTGGGATTGCTATGCTCTATGACGCCAATACCGACATACAGATTGAATAGATCTGTGCCAGCAATTAGAGGAGAAATTCATTCATCGTTGGTGATCAGAATGGTGGGTTGCTCACCGTCTTCTGTCGAAAGAGGAGAACAGTGGCTAAGGTCGCGTCTCGGTCTAATGAAGATGATGAACAGGGGCACTGAGATAGCGGAGGTTAATATCCTGCTGACTTGGGTGGAAATTGCTCCATTTCTAGTGCTACATTTGCTCTTAATATAACAATTTGTTGATTAATTTGAATAGATTAAAAAATTAGTTAAATTAGTTATTTGTAATAAATAAATATTATTTTTTTAAATATTCTTACTAATCAAACATATTAGTTAGAACTACTGTTATTACAGTGACTATTTAAAAAAAAATATGAGAGATAAAATAGATTAAAGTCTTATATTTAAAACTACAATAAAAGTCAAACGAACTCTAATATTAAAAAGCAGAGGTAACATTTTAATAGTAAAATTGCATTACAAAATACTATAGAACGCTAGAATTACTTTCAAAGATAGTTTCAGATATTAAATGCATCTTAACTCTAAAACTTATTAATACGGTAATGTTTATTTTGGCCAAATGTTAATACGGTAATGTTTAAAACTTACTCCTTTACTGGCCCAAAAAAAACTTGCTCCTTTAGCCTTTGTTTTTTCATGCCGAAAGGGTTCATCTTATTGATCACAAAAAAAAAAAAAAGTTACACAGACTAGTAATCTAAACTGAAAAATATACTCTCCAAAAGGCCAATCATTACAACCTAACACCCGCCGTGCCAAAGTAAAGAAACAAAGAACCAATTTAACCAGTTTAGAACAAAACCAACTACAGAACTTAAGAAGCGGGAATGAAACAAACAGAACTAAACAAACGGTAGCAAGCATTAACCACGTCTGACAGAATATTAACCAACGCCTTCCCTAATCCAATTATTCTGCTGAACAGCCACTGAATGTGCATTTGCTAAATCTTTTGGTGATATTTACAACTCACTTTTGGGGGAAAAAAAACTCAAATCCCATTAAGTTTACATTAAAATTTAATAATTTTTTAATAAAATTACATAATATATATAAATTTTTCAAAAAATAATAATCAATATAACAAATAAAAGATAAAATTAAGGGAGAATTCCAATTAAACCCTGTTGAAATATCAAAATTCAAATTAAGACTCACACTTTAACAAATCTCTAATTAAGTCAAGGAGCCTTATTAGGAATTTTTTAATGTTGTTAAAAGATTAAAATGTCCTTTTAAGTTAACAAATTGGTAATTACTCTAATCAATTTATGACCTAGCTTCTTTTTTTATTTTTTCGAGATGTTGCTAAATGATCTATCGTCTTTATGCGTTCTATGATTTTTTTTCTTTTGTACAAGTTTATATTAAGTAGTTCATATTATTCCATTTGTCCCATCCAAATATTGGAAAAATAATTTAGATTTCCAATACAATTTCATATTGATTATTAGTATAAATTTTAGTATTTTCAAATTTTCTTATGTAAAATATTTTTTAAAAATAAATACTATTCAAGTTTTCTTGGTTTAATTTTTTTGTCTTCAAAATAATATTATTTAAATAATAAAAAGGCATTTTAGTCTTTTAACTATATTCAAAAATTTCTAATAGGGCTTAATTAGGAATTTGTTAAAAGTGCAAGCCTTAGTTTGAATTTTGATAATTCAAGTAGATTTAATTAGGATTTTTCCTAAAATTAATTAAATTACAAACTAAATCTTATATTTAGAATTACAAGAAATATTTCTATGTTAAAAAAATTTAATAAAATGACTTATAAATTATAAATATCTATTTAACTAATTTATGTTGATTAAGAGAGGTAGTTAAATGAGTCATTCATTAAAAATATGCAGTATTAGTTTTTCTAAATTACTCCTATATTAAAATAGTATATACAAACTTCTTTAACATATGCAATGCTAATTAGAATAATTAAGAGGGACACAATTAATTTGAATGTCATATTTAAGATATACTGGTGACGTAATAAAAAGAAAGTTGGCGCTTGGGATTAGAATATACCAAGGAACAAAAAACCGGACCGGAGATTAAACCGGTCAAGACAGTGGGTTAAGGGTTACTGGTCAGACCGTGGTCAGACCGGGGTCGGACCGGTCATATTAAAATAATATAATTTAATTCATAATATTAAAATATCATATTGATTATTAATCAATATTTTTCTTGACCAGAAGAGTACTAATCAATATTTGAAAGTTGAAACAGACAAATTTGTATATTCTTCGGTTTCAAGCTAAGAGTATTTATACTTTACATATCCAGAATCAATTTCATCTAATCTCCAAAGGAAACAAAATCTATATTATTTCAGCAAAAAAAAAATTCATCAACTACTTTCTTCTCCTACTTCAAATGTTCAGAAATCAAATGGAAAATTTTTATCTTCTCCCTTCCCAAACCTTTCGACAACCAGAGAGAAAGAACAAACAAAGGCAGCTCTTTAATCCTAACAACACAACCTAGCTGAAAGGGAAAATTTTCGAGCTTACCCACAACTCAATGCACCGAAGGGACAACGCTGATCGGGATTTGAGGGAGACCTGCGACTTTGGAGTTTCGATTCTGCCTTCTGCGAATGCTAATAGTGAAGGCCAAGCAGGAGGTGGTGAGCGAGGGAGACTTGCGAGCTTAGAGCCTCAGACATGGGATGCGACTGCGAGGTGGAGGCCTGCGACTTGACTTTCGGTTCTGCGATTCTGCCTTCTGCGAATGCGAGTGGTGAAGCTGAAGCAAGACGAGGCGAAGGCGACCGCGATGTTGGGGAACGGCCGAACAAGGACCTCTGCAGCCAACGACGCCAGGGAACAGGGATCTCGGAGGAGGCGATTTTGGCTTGGGAGGGAAGAGCCGGCGCTGCGCAAAGGAGAGGAAGGGAAATGAGGGAATTCGAGTTAGTGAGTTACTCGACCGGAGGAAAAGAGAAGAAGAGCTTTTTTTTTAAAAAATAAAACGGTGCCGTTTTGGGATTCTGAAAGGCAAAAAAAACAAACCGGGTAACCCACTGAACCGGGTTACCCGGTTTAATACCGGTTTTTCCCGGTTAAAACCGGTTTTTTACCGGTTCATTAAACCTCCGGTTCACCATCCAAACCAGACCGGACTGCAGACCGGTTCACCGGTTTTCCGGTTGAACCGGCCGGTCCGGTCCGGTTTTTTTTTCCTTGGAATATACAAACTTCTTTAACATATGCAATGGTAATTAGAATAATTAAGAGGGACACAATTAAAAAGAGACGCGGGTTTCCTCTCTCTCCCAAAGACGCGCTTGACGCTTGGGATTTTTGCTTGACACTGCCTTACGCCGCCGAACGTAATTGAATCAAGCAGAACCCAGCAACCTTCCGGTGGAGTCAGTGAATGCTGACCACAGGTGACTTATTTCAGTAGTGGAACTAGCGTTTCTGCGTAAGTCTTGTTTTGCTTTTATTTTCTTCCGCTGAATCAATTTGGATCAGAAATTGTTTATTCTTCAACCTGTGAAGCATTCCTACCCTTATGATCATCTTGTTATTGATTGATTGAAATGTTTATTCTATGCCTTTGTGAATATCGCAAATTATAGTCTACAAGCACACGGGGTGGGGCCTCTGTAAAATTCTTGGCATGAATCACATTATAATTTAAGCTGATATAGTTTAGTGAAATAGCTTCTTATTGGTTGAGCTTCCTTTTCTGTATTATGCGTGGGAGTCTGAGAAATGAGCACGTCTTCCTCTACATTTTACGCATCTAGTAATGATTTTTGCCTTTCGTGATGGCAGCAAGAATGTACGCTAATATGGGATCGCAAACTGTGGTACCTCAACCTCCAACAGGATCATAGTCTAATCTTTTGGGAATACAATTCATGTAACTGGTTCAGGTCTCATTAAAGGTGGATTGGTTGCTTACGGTGAAAGAATACTGGGATCAAGCTCTGAGTATGTCTAGAGCAATGGATTGATGGAAGTAGCATTCTATTTCTATTTCCATGATTTTGCCGCCAAAAGGAGAGAGAGGAAACCCGCGTCTGTTGGCAAAACGCATAGCTGTGTTAAGTGTGTGTTTTTGACTGTAGATAAAATGAAAGGTGAGGATTAGAGAAGAGGATGATAAGAGGATGGAAGGGAAAAGGAGACGCTCCGCTCCGCAACAAGCTCTACCGCTCGCTCCTAGCCCCATCCTCCGCGAGGCCGTTGTTGGCTCGTCGCAGCAGAGAACGGCGCGGATGGGTGAATTTCTACATAGTCATCCTTATGTACCAACGGACCTGATTCTTCCTGGTTTTGTTCCGTGCTTCCTCTCTCAGTCTACCATTCTTGCAGTCTATGGCATCGCTTCACTGGCCGTCGTCTCCTCCGTCTGGATATTCTCAGGTAGGAATGTCTATCTCGCTTTCGGATTGCTTCATTTCTTTTCCATTGACTTCTCCAAGCTTTATTTGTTGAGCCTCCTTGTTTAACTACTCGCAGTTGGTAAGTGAAATTGAAATTCTACGCTCCTAGCAGTTACTCTCACTCACATCTTTCTATTTTTTGGATATTTGAATTGCATCGTTATCTCGTGAATGTACTTCAGTAATCAATTAAATGCTTCAATTGTGCTCTCTGTTGAACTATCAAGATTGTATATGTAGTCTATTACCGAGCATGTTATATTAGGCTGGCAGAATGCTGTACCTGAATGATGAGTATGTCTAATCAGTGAAAAGTGTTCTTGAATTTAGTTGATGGCGAGGACAAAGACCCGTGAACTTTAAAATGTAGAATACGATAAAAACCGATGCAGATGTTTTGTGATTAACTTCTCTTTCTAGTTAGATCTTGGACTTCACGCAGTGCTGAAGTGCACAATTCACCATTTATGATCAGTGCCACTTCCTGCAATTTGTATATGCATTGATTGATGATTGATATTTTAAACTTGATATTATTTTAATAGTGAGTAGTTTTTTGTCTGTAAGTCTATTATTAGAATATCCTCTTCTCATGCAATCCAAATGGAATTACCAGATGCTGTTTGGATTAACATTTTGAAGTAACGCAATCGTGTTGTTTAAGGCACAATGTGTTATTTTGTTATTTCATAATTATCCTACAAGAACTATGAATATTTGATCAGGAATATTCGTTCCGGCTGTCCCATGCAATGGATACACCGCAGAGAGTCTATGTTGCTAGTAAAGCTTAAAATGGATCAACATGACTCCACATTTTTATTTCAATGCAAGTTTCTCTCTTCTCCGATTAGTGGATCTGTTGGATGGTATCTCATCTTTTTTTGACACGTTTGTGTTTTCCCAGGATACCTTCCCAAGATAATAAAAAGTGATCGATTTTTAATGTGCTGGTGGGCCTTTACAGGCCTCACACACTTGACACTTGAGGGTTATTTTGTTTTCTCACCAAAATTTTACCAGGATAAGACTGGTTGCTACCTGGCTGAAGTTTGTAAGTCTCACATATACAACATTATTAACATTTGGAATTTGGAGTACCTTTCAAGGATCAGTGTTTCTTTAGCTAAAGGGGATTCAAGGTATGCTGCGAGGGATGCAGGTATTGTTGCTGTTGAAGGCATAACAGCAGTTTTAGAGGGTCCAGCTAGCCTTCTTGTGGTGTAAGTTGAACTATGTTATGACGCTTTAATGGGAATTCTCACACTTGGTCTGTATTAATTCTATTTTTCACTTCTCTTAATGAAATGCTACTGTCAATATGGATGCAGATATGCAATAGCTTGTGGAAAGTCATATAGCTATATACTTCAGTTTGCCATCTCTTTGGGACAGCTATATGGAGCTGTTGTTTATTTTACCACAGCAATATTGGAAGGTGATAATTTCTCTGCAAACCAGTTTTACTACTTCACATATTATATTGGCGCAAATGCTTCTTGGCTTGTTATACCCTTGCTTATTGCCACTCGCTCTTGGAGGAAGACTAGTGCTGCATTTCAGGTCCAAGGACAGACAAAAAAGGCAAAAGTTCGCTGATGCAGACTGCAAATGATCTGTTTTAAATTTTTAATGATCCTGTAGTTTTAATGATTTATAGTGAGAAGTTTTGGACGGGAAAGAATGTTTGGATATTCAAGATAGATCTTTGGATATTAAATATTATTCCAGACATCTGTAAGAACTGCATCGGTTCATTCTTAAATTGCTCATCTACCAGGTCCCCCAAAAAAAATAAAAAATCTTAAATTGCTTATCTTGAAAAATAATTTTTTTTTTCGTGGAATGAAAAATACACATTTTAGTGTTTTGCAGATGATGGCTGTTGAGTTTTGAACATGGTTGCTCCAAAGTATGGATATGGTGCATCCTAACTTTTGTTTGGTTGAGTTAAGAGGGTGTTTGGATGAAACCAAACTATGATTTGAGAATAGCTTCTAGAAAATAGATTCTGGAAAGAATAGATTTTGTGAAAAAGTGATTCTGATAAAGTGAGAGTGTTTGGATAGTTGTTATTAGAAGCATTTTTTATATGTACAAATTACTAAAAAGTGTATAAATTAATATAATAATTACATAAAAAATAGATTTTATAATATATTTTAATTTGAAGAAATAAAATTGTTAATAATATTTTTTTACCAGCATAATTAATAATATATAAAATAATGTAATTAATAAATAGTTAATATGTGTATATATATTTATAAAATATAAGATTAAATATGTTTAGAGAAAAATGACTTTTTTTCGCTAACAGAAAAATATTAATTTTCTTTAAAGATTTTAAACATAAAATCCTATAACATATTTTCACAACTAGTTTTTGTACAGCATACTACCTTCGATCTTTAATATAATTAATTAATTAATTGTTACTACATGCATATATATATAAAATATAAGAGTAAAAATATTTTTGGAGAAGATGAATTATTTTGTTGTGAACAGAAAATTCTTAATTTTCTGTGAATTATTAATTTGGGTGTTTTTGGTCAAAATATATTGTTGCTCCCATCTGACTCCTAGTTATCACTCCAGTGATTCAGCTTTCACTTCTCAGAATCAACAATTTTTCACTTCTCACCAAACCATGGTTTCAGCCTTCACAACTATGATTTCAGCTATAACCAAGTTTTCAAAAAAATTGAGGCTGTTTGGATGTCATTTTATCCAAACCATGATTTTGCCTTCCATACCATGGTTTTGGATGTTATCCAAACATTAGAGCTGGTAAAACGGGCCAACCCACGGGTTGCGGGTTGGCCCGTCACGGGTTGTGGGTTATTTGGGTCGGGCTCAAAAGGCCCGTTTTTTGGCGGGTTGGTATTTTGCCAACCCTAACCCACCAAGGTGGGTTGGCAGGTCAACCCATCAACTTGCTAGATTTTTTTTTAAAATTTGTTTCTTATAAATAATAAAAAATTTTAAAAAATCAGAAATAATTTAAAGTATTCCAAGCATTCACACAAAATTACAACATATTAAAACACAAAATATACAATTATCCAAAGTTTAAACTCCAAACATGATAAAATACAAGTTCAAACATAAATTTTTTCTACATTTTCAGCCTACCTCCTAATATTTTAATATATATGAAAATTTTAAAAAAAATTAGGTGGGTTGACGGGTTGAGGACTGACCCATGGCGGGCTCGGGTTGTGGCGGTGCGGGTTGACCAAAGGCCAACCCTAACCCCCTCTTTTGGTGGGTTGGCGGGTTCAACTCGCAGGTCCAACCCATATTAACGGCTCTACCAAACATGCTCTTAAAACTAGACATGTTAATTGTGATTAAATATGATTATGTTTTTCCATTTCTAGTTATTTTTATTGAATCGAGATCTTTTTGTGGTTGCAAATTAGTTATATATAACATTATCAACAAATGACAAGGAGAAAAAAAGATAAATATAAAAATAGAAGTCCTTTAATTTGTCTTATTTTTATCATTCATCCTAAATACTTTATAACGTAATATTTCGTGGATTTGCTAATTTTTAATTTCGCGGATATTGTGTCAAAAAAAAAAGGAGGATATTTTTGTTTCTCATATTGGAAAATATTCCTAGCCTTTTCTTTTGTGTTCTCGATTCCTAGTCTTTTCTTTGTTATGAAAGGTAACGTCCTTTTACTGCGATTGATAACACATTTGTTTTTGTTTTTTTGATTGAACATCCACTGCAAAATGTAACACATTTGTTGGAGTCTTTTAGTTGCTTTGGTCATAACATGGTTTTTGACTCTGACACACAATTTCTTTTCCCTCAATGCGAGGTGGTAACTAAAATTCAAAATATAGTTACAAATTGTCCAGTTAGAACTTACAAACATATTTTCAAATCCCCATTAAGAGTGAATGCTTCTGAACTCAAGGCACTTTACTCTGTATTGAAGGACTGAAGTTCAAGTATTTGTTGCTGCAATCATCACAAGAGACCTTCGCAGACTAATTAATGAATGCCATTTCACATGTTTTGTTACTCCCTCCGTTCCTTATTATAAGAGACATTTGATGCTTATGGCATGTTCCTATATATAAGAGACACTTACAAGTTGTCTCTACTTTTTTGTGTTGATTTACTATTTTACCCATATTTATTATCTCCAACTCACACTCTCTCTCCCTCCCACTTCTCTTTCTTTTAATAATTTAATTGTTCTCTCTCATGCTCTCTCTCCTTATTAATGAGGGCATTTTTGGAAAAAAATATATACTTTTTACATATTAATTGTTCTTAACTAATTTTAACTATTTTTTAATGAACGTGTTTCGGTTATTTGTCTCTTATAATAAGAAACGGAGGGAGTACTTGTTACTATAATCATAATCATAATTAAAACTCATCGCGACTGCTTTGCTTATATGTTACCCTTTCATTTTAGTTAATCAAAATCTTTACGACATTAATGTCCCCAAAAAATGGAGAATCGTCTCTGACAATTTTTCTCATTATTCGAGTTGAGTTCAAGTCCTGATCCCTGTGAACTTCCTCACAGCATGAGAATGGCTCTTACCATTGAATCAATTTTAAGAGAATATCAACATTACGTAACATTGAAATAAAATAAAATAAACATTACATTACATTAATATTTATGCAAAAATGAATACTCCCATATTGTGAAGATCTTTTGGCAGTACCAATCGTTCTTAGAATAATTTGTATTTATTTATTGTGTTATTGTGTAATGTGTACAAAATAAAAATAACAAAATAATAAAATTTTAACTGAGATTAAATCCCAATGACATGCAAGGCAGAGCACCGGCTTCCCGTCCGGTGGAAGCGTGGCAAAGTTTTGATGAAGCCAAACGAGAAACAGCGAAAAGTATAACTGGAGATTTCCGCATGGTCGAGTCGAGTCTGAACAATGGCTAATTGATCTCTTTCGCTTCTTCCTTATTCCATAACAGAGGCGATTGCTTTTATAGTATTCTTGTATGACAAGCTTAACTGATTGAACTCCCTTGCTACTTCCAAAAAAAGAAAAAAGAAAAAATGATACAAATCGAAGTTGAAATCTGAAAACTCGGGAGACGCATTCATCTTCACATTCGTCAACTGGAGAAACCAAGGGAACCAGATCTGGGAGTCTTCTAAGTTCGCCCCCTTCTCTCCCTGTTTTAGAGAGGGAAAGGGGGAGTGGAGATTGCATTATTCAATCGCCATTGATAACTCTTTGAAATGGCCCCAGTCTTCGAGTATTTTGTGGTGTGCGGGATCGGCCCCGAAATTCGAACTCTTGAGGGAAGCAAAGGGTTCCATGGTACCGGATATATGTATCTCCCTTCTCTTCTCGATCAGTACCCTCCGCCTAATCACTCTCTCTGCCCTCCTCCACCTCCTCAGCTTCCCACTGTAAGCTCTTGAACAACAGAAAGCTCGGACACTGCACCCTCATCTGCTTTCTTTTTTCTTTTTTTCCCTTTTCCAACTGAAAAGTGTTTTTTTTTCATTACAATTTCGGAAGCGTGTATGTTCGTTACATTCAGGAAATTTAAGAGTTCATTTCTGAATTATCTTCCAGTTTCAAGTTGATCTGATTTGAGTAATACTTTCTTGCAGTGTGTTTTGCCAGCTGGTGTAGAGTTTTATTCTTCGGGGTTTGATTCCGATGATCCCTCGACATTTCCGAGGAGCTATCCGATTGTTTTGACCGGTACATTTATTTACAAGCATTTTCTCTTCGTTTTTCGAAATTAAGCCATTGGTTTCTCGACGGTGTGTTAGAACTTCCTGTTTTGATGGTTAGCCTTCTTATATCGTGTGCTGTGAACCTCACAGTTCTAGTAATTATGAATCACTACTAAGTGATTGGAAATTTCACATATATCTCACCATTCTTACACTAAGAAATGTGGAATTAGTTGAGAGGCTCCTTAGCAGTAGTAAAACTAAGTGCATTTCTGTATGGGAGATGTTGCATTGCTTCCATACGGCAACAAACAGCCGGAGAGTTTCTTGTTTTGTGATGATCGTTGCATCATGCCTCCAAAGGAGTAATGTTTGAATAATTAAACTTTATATGAAAGATGCCCGTGGATAAACTACTCAGGCTAGGACTATATAGAGAAGCATCCCTTGGGTGTGAGGAATCCAAGAGAAAAGAAGTTTCGATCTCTTGCTATCATATATTCAAATACAAGTAATTTCTTTCATAAAAGATGTGTGAGGGGCACTGTTGAAGCTGTGTAATCAAAGAACAGGACTTGAACAAGTCATATAATCCCAATTCTGGAGCATTCCTCCTATTCCTGTCTAATTCCATTTCAGTTCTAATGGCAATTGAAGTTTAAGGAGATCTGGTCGGCCATTTTATTGCTTCATTTGGAAATCCATTAACCTGCTTGCGGTTCCTTTAGTTGCTGACTTCAACATACGTTTATGATCTGCTGTCCAAACATGAGACCGTATCTTTAATCTGAGCTATAGAATTCGGATCTATTTTTTTCTATGAATATGCCTATTTCTTCAGACTTATATGTTATTGTAACAATTCATAATAGCTAGTGATAATTGTCAACGAATATTAATCCCAAATTCAACCTTGTTTATCAAGTTAAGCAAATAGAATAGCATTTTTTATTTAATTTTGATTATCTTGGGTAGATGCGGTAAAATGAAAATTTTAGTGGCTGCCCTCTCCAGCATCATGACCACCTTATTGAAGCAGGTTCTGCATGCCATGTGTACCGATTTTAGAAAGATA